TGCCATGTTTTGGGGCTTCTTCCACAACAGCTCCTTGGGCAATTCCACAGCCCTGACATCAGGCCAGCACAGACTCTAGCCCGCGGAGTGGCACTGCTCATGGCTCTGCCCACCCTGCACCTGCTGCATGCACGCTTTGGCCACCTTCCCTGGCCATGCCTGCTAGTCGGCCCTACCACACTGGCTTAGGAGGGCTTCCTGGTGGACAAGCCCCTGGCAGCTCAGGGCACAGGTCTCTGTCCACTGCTTTGCCATCCTGATGGGACGCCCCTGGGTGCTGGAGCCCGAGCTACCAACCCACAGCTGGCAGCCACGCTTTGCAGGGCAGGCTTTGCTCCCACCTCAGACCTTGCCAGGGACTCACTACTGAGTCTGCTGGCAGGAGACCTGGGGGTGGAGATGCCCTTGGCTGGGCCCAGGCCCACTTTGGAACCAGCGCAGCAGCTACCCATGGCCCAGGGCATCCTGTTCACCACCCCCAGTCCCTCAGCCAGCCCAGAGCTGCTTGCACTGCTGGAGGCAGCCCTAGGGTCTGGGGCATCCAGCCTTGACCCCTGCCCACCAGTCTTGCAAACTTCTGTGAGCCCCAAGAGCGGCACCCTGGCCACCATGGACAGCAGCGGCTCTGTGTTCCTTCTCACCTCCTCGCTCAACAGCTCCCTTGGTTCTGCATACCTGTTCCCAGGCATGGGGGTTCTGCTCAGCAACATGACGGCCAAGTCTACTGCTAGTGCCTGGGCCTGTCCCCTCATCCTCCAGCCTGGATGACACAGAGGCCAATGTGTTGGGGCTAGTGGCTTCAAGGACCCCTGATATGGCCAGAGAAATGACTCACACTATACTCAGCCATCTGGCAGAGCCCCAAACCCAGGCCCAGCACCAGCACCAGGGGCAGCAAGAACCAACAGAGCAGCCCAGCACTTATGGTCAAGGGATCCTGCTCCAGGTGGCAGCCTATGCAGAGCACGTGCATGTCTCCCATGTCCCCCATGGCTGCTGCCCCTACCAGGGGATCTAACAGGATCGGGATGGGTCTGGCACAAGACAGAGTTATCTGAAGCCTGGGGAAGGAGTAGAGCAGACCCAGCAGTAATGGAGTGTACCCCAGCTCACACCGGTCATCTCAAGCACTTTGGGTGGTCAAGGCAGGAAGATTCCTTGAGGCCAGGAGTTTGAAACCAGCCTAGACAGCATAGCAAGATCTTGTCTGTACCAAAAATTTTAAATTTGCCAGGTGCAGTGGCAGATGCCTGTTGTCCCAGCTACCTGGGATGCTGAGGCAGGAAGCTTGCTTGAGCCGGTAGTTCAAGGCTACAGGAGGCTAGGATTACACCATTGCACTCCAGCCTGGACAACATAGTGAGACCCTGTCTTTGGAAATAATAATAATAATAATGGCTGGGTGTGGTGGCTCATGCCTGTAATCACAGCACGTTGGGAGGCCTAGGCAGGTGAATCACCTGAGGCTAGGAGTTTGAGACCAGCCTGGGCAATATGGCAAAACCCCATCTCTACTAAAAATATAAAAAACTTAGCTGGATGTGGTGGTGTACACCTGTAATCCTAGGTAGTTGGGAGGCTGAGGCACGAGAATTGCCTGAACCTGGGAGGTGGAGGTTGCAGTGAGCCAAGATCACACCACTGCAGTTCAGTCAGGGCAGCAAGAGTGAAGCCTCATTTAAAAAAAAGTGTGCATCTATTATGTGCTCACTGCTGGCTCAGGCCCCCAACCTCTGGCTTTTTCCATTAGCTAGATTTGAGCTGCAGGATCCAGAGCTAGCACAGTCATTCTCCAAACCACCCACACTGAGGGAATTGTTGGCTCCTTTGCCAGGTAAGGAACATGACGGTGATGAGGAATAAGCAACAGGGCCCGGGGCGAGCACTGAGTTCAGATCCAGCTTTTGGAAGGACAGCAGAAAGAGTGCAGAGCCTCTGCCTCGGCAAGCACTGGGCCCCAGGGAGCAGGGCAGGCAGAGCCCAGGGTACTGCTGGCATCCTGTCCTTCCCTTCAGGGCACCCTCTACCCATCTTTCTCAACCAGACTGATACAAAATAAAGATCAAGTCTCCCGGAGGCCAAGAGCCATTCCTGCTTCTTTAATTTCCCATCAGCCTTGAAGCAATTGGAGTTGGGGCTTCCCTGATGGGCAGCACAGGTGATCAGTAAACAGAGAGGGGAGAGCCTGGGTTGGTATCTTTCAGCTTCCACCCCAGCTCTGCTCACCTCCTGTCTCCTGGGGCACTAGATGTGCGAGGTAAATGTTTTAATCTCACTTTCTAGAACAGACAGCAAAGCAGGGAAGCAGTTGAGAGGGTGAGTTGGAGTTGAATGGGTGGAAATTCAAGGTGAAGGGTAGCCCTGACCTCCTCACAGCGTTAGGTCCTCTCTGGACCACAGCCTTCTGAAAACAGCTTCTCAAACCAGGAAGCAAGTGTGACCAGCAGCGCTTCCCTTCCCTGCCATTGTAAAAGGCTCCTCTGATTTAATAGACCCTTATTCCCACGACCTCCACCTTCCACTTCCAAGAAAATTCTTTTCCAGCTCAGTAATGGCACCACTATGTACTCAGTTATTTTAGTACCAAACCTGGCATCCCCCTCACTTCCTCTCCCCCCACATCCAATCCATCACCCACCCCACCTGCTCCACATCAGCCGAAATCTGACCTGTTCTCATTTCCCTGGGTCCAGTCCACCACTGTCTCTAACTGGTCTTCCTGTTCTTCCTCTTGTGTGGACCTACAATCCATCATTTCCCACACAGCAGCCAGCATCACCTGGTGAGAATTTAAATTGGATCCAGGCCTGCCCCTGCATTAAACTCACCAATGACTTCTACCACACTCTGTGTGAAATCCTAGCCCGGGATCCTATGCAACCTTGCTTCTCTGAGCCACCTGGCAGCCTCAGCCCCTGCAGCCCTGGGCCTTTGCAGTTGTAAGGATTGGGATTTCCTCCCCTTAGATCCTTGCAGGAGTGTGGGGAAGGGCTTCTTGTCACTCAGCTCTCAGCCCAAATGTCAGCTACTTCCTGACAGAGGCCTTCCCTGACCGACCCCTCAAATCATTACCATAGACTCTGTTGAATGATAATTAGCGGCTGGTGCAAATAGATGCTCAGTGCTGCAAAGAAAAATCGGCACTGAAACAAAGGATCTTTTAGCAACGCAATTTTTACTTCCTGGGCTACAGGAAGTAGCCACAAGAATATGAAAATAAAAGAAAGCAGACATATTTATTTCTCAGGCCTGGATGCTCTTTCACCCCACTTACAGGGGGAAGAGCAGGTAGAATGAGGTAATGACGGTCAGTGAAGGGTCATGTAAATCACGTGTCTTGGAGACTGAGGCCCAGGTGAGGAGAAAACCTAAGGCATCAGCACTTTTTTCCTATACTTGTCAAGAAATAACAAGGTCACTAAGATTTATGTTACTAATTCTTATATTCTAAGAAAAAGAGGAACCAGGTACAGAAGCAGAACTTGAAAGTAGCCACGGAACATGACCACTCAAGCACAGCACCACAGAGAAACAGTTAAGTCCCTGGGTGTCTGTGGGCCTCCGTGACAGCGTCAGGCCTGCCACAAGAGCTTGGGGGAGCGGAGTTTTCTCCTTACTCCCCCAGGAAGATGTCCCACCATCTTGGATGTGTCCTCCCCTAGCTGGCTAAACCGGGTGCTTTCAGAGCACTGACACAGTCGCACAGCCAAGGTGTCCTCCAGCAGCCCTTATGCGAGCGTGACAGAGGGCTTAGAGCATCTGTCTTTAGCGTCACCTCTTTTCCAATGCCATGTCAGTCCCATACTTCCTGAGGCTTATAAGTAAGATTAGAGATTATATCATTACATACCTATATGTATGATTAATATGAAGAGCTATATGATTATATGATTAAACATCTGTAGTTATGATTACATATAAAAAGCTATATGATTATGATTACATATAGGAATAACTATATCTCTAATTCTTTTTTCTGGGTTTTTTTATTGCATTTTAGGTTTTGGGGTACATGTGAAGAACATGCAAGATTGTTTACTAATTCTACACTTATATGAGAACATGCTGAGACTTCAGGCCCTTGCCTCGGCTCTTGCTGGGTTTCCCCCAACAGCTTAACAGTTAATAGCAGCTTATTCCTTGACAAGAAAGGAAACTTTAAAAGGAACCTTTCAACTTCCCACAGGCGTATTTTTAACCGGTGATGTATTCACGTTTCAGCACTGAAAAGGCTCCCTCGGACCCCTGCATTCCCAGTTCTCTTCATAATTACGAATCTTTTTTTTTTTTTTGAGACGGACTTTCACTGTTGTTATCCAGACTGGAGTGCAATGGCACGATCTCGGCTCACCGCAACCTCCGCCTTCTGGGTTCAGGCAATTCTCCTGCCTCAGCCTCCTGAGTAGCTGGGAATACAGGCACGCGCCACCATGCCCAGCTAATTTTTATATTTTTAGTAGAGATGGGAATGGACTCGATATCTTGACCTCGTGATCCACCCGCCTCGGCTTTCCAAAGTGCTGGGATTACAGGCGTGACCACCCTGCCCGGCCTCATAATTATGATCTTTTTTGATGCACTTAGCTCCGAGTTCCTCCACGAAAGCGGCCGCTTTGTTCCAACCGCCTAGCGCTGCGCAAAGCAGGTGTCAGTAACTGTTGAATGGCTCAGGGCTCCGAGCTCAGGGCCGCCCTGGGACGAGGCGGATGATGTGCTGCACCTCAGTTGGTTTCCGAGATGGACCCTCAGAAACCGCCCCGTGGGGCTCCAAAGGGGCAGATGCCCCAGCCTCCGGGACAGAATGAACGTGAGCGAAAGGCTGGAACAACCGCGCCGGCGCAGCGAGGAACTTCCGCTCAGAGCGAGGGCGGAAATGCCGCCCCTCCTGGGTGCCCGCCCCAGCCTCGCTCCTCTTGGTTCCCCCGTCCCCTGCCCCGCCCCTCCCAGTTCCCACTCCGAGCCAACTGAAAAAAACAGTGCGCATGCGCCGGGCCCTGACCTGGAAGTGGCTGGATCCGGGGCACGCGTGTTTCCATGAGTGTGGCGGAGATGGGGAGCCAGGAACCCTCCGAGCCCCCGTCGCCGGGAGACGCGACGCAGAACAGCGCCCGGCCTGCGGACCGCCACGACCTGTTGAAACACAGCTGTGGGTTCTTGGACTTCTGGGACATTGCGAAGCCTGAGCAGGAGACGCGACTTGTGGCCGAGAAGCTGCCGGAGTATCTGCGCGCTAGGCCGAAGATGGAGCGGCGGGTTTGGGGCAGGGGCCGCGCACTTCCCGACAAGGAAGCGGCGGCGGGCCCAGGGATTTGGGATGGGGGCACGTGGTCGCGAACCTGGATGATAAGGTGCACGGGGTGTGCAGCTTCTTGTCACCGTTCAACGCGAGGGTGCGCTTGGTTCCGCAGGGGTCTGAGATGAAATACGCCCTGAAGCGGCTGATCACGGGACTCGGGGTCTGGCGAGAAACAGCCCGGCCCTGCTACAGTTTGGCCCTGGCACAGGTGAGGTGCTGTTCCTGGCAGGATCCCAGCCACGCGGGTGAAAACGGTGGGGTGTGAGGAGGGCGGGTGTCTCAGCGCGACGGAGGGGCAGCCCGACAGAGAAGTCGGGAGTGTGTTGGAGGCCAGCCTGAGGGAGCCTCCTCACATGAAGGTGGAGAAAGCGTGAGCAAGGCCTGTCTCCAAAGCAGTCCAGGCAGGGGGAGTGGGAAGCGGAGCAGGTTTTCTTTCTGGTGCTTGCGTTACCCGGCCTCTTAGGTACACTTGCTGGGAGCAGTGAGCGCTGGGTGGGGTGGGCTCCCTTAGGCCTGCAGGGCATTCAGCTGATTGGAGTAGCCCACTCTCTGAGGAGCCCTGACAAGGGGAAGAGCAGTTAAGACCCAGGCCCGCCGGATCAGCCTGAGTGGAGCTCAGACCGGGCTATGGAGAGAAGACCCAGTGGCTGAGAATTTCAGCAGAGCAATCTAGGGACTGTAGAAGGTACTTTTGTGGCTAGGAGCGGTGGTGGCTCACACCTGTAATCCCAGCACTTTGGGAGGACGAGGCGGGTGGATCACCTGAGGTCAGGAGTTCGAGACCAGCCTGGCCAACAGGTTGACAACCCATCTCTACTAAAAATACAAAAATTAGCTGGGTGTGGTGGTGCACACCTGTAATCCCCAGCTACTGTGGGTGCTGAGGCAGGAGAATTGCTTGAACCTGAGAGGTGGAGGTTGCAGTGAGCAGAGATCACGACACTGCACTCCAGTCTGGGCAATGGAGCAAGACTCCATCTCAAAAAAAAAAAAAGAAAGCTGCCAAGGCTCAGCTCCAGTCCCAGTCCCAGAACCACTTGCAGACGGTACTTCAGAAATCCTAGCGGAGATGGGGCAGGGAGGCAAGATTCGTTTCTGAGAGCAGCTTCAGAGGCATTCATGGGGTGCGACTAGGCACCCAAGGCTTCCTGGGAGGAGTTGAAGGGGGAAGGGAGGTTGAGTTGTGAGGATGTACTGGGCCACTTCCTGAGCCCCTCTTCCTCCTGGCAGCTGTTACAGTCTTTTGAAGACCTCCATTTGTGCAGCATCCTGCAGCAGATACAAGAAAAATATGACCTGCATCAGGTGAAGAAGGTGAGAGAGGGCCCGGGGAGGTCAGTAGCCCCGGGGGTGAGAGGCTGGGGGTGGGAAGTCCCACAGCCCCTCATGCTGTGCCTGGAATCCTTTTCTAGTCAATGGTGAGACCTGCTGTCTTTGCAGACCTGTTCAGAGTGCTCGCCCTCTTTCAGTCAGGCTGGCTGGTGAAGGTGAGAACTTTGGGAGGACGGTGGGGGTGGGGGGTGTAGGCTGGTCTTGGATGGGTGGGGGACAGTAGTGGTCCCTGCTCATACCCTCTGCCCCTTTGTGGGGACCAGGACCAGGAGGTGCTGAGGAAGTCAGTGAAGCTGCTGCAGGCCCTGGCCCAGTATCAGAACCACTTGCAGGAGCAGCCCCAGAAAGCCCTGGTGGACATTCTCTTCGAGGTATGAGCTCACCAGCCTTATGGGCTCGGGAGACACTTCCTGCTACAAAGACATAAAGAGGGCTCAGATGAGAATCAGGAACAGCACTGTTCCATAGAAATATAAAGACATATAATTTGAAGTGTTTCAGTGACTTTGTTGAAAAGGTAAAAAGAGGCCCGGCACAGTGGCTCATGCCTGTAATCTCGGTACTTTGGGAGGTGGGTGTATCACCTGAAGTCGGGAGTTTGAGACCAGCCTGACCAATATGGAGAAACCCTATCTCTACTAAAAGTATAAAAAAATTAGCCAGGCATGGTGGCATATGCCTATAATCCCAGCTACTTGGGAGGCTGAGGCAGGAGAATCGTTAGAACCCAGGAGTTGGAGGTTGTAGTGAGCCGAGATCATGCCATTGCACTCCAGCCAGCCCAAGCCATATGAGAGTGAAACTCTGTCTCACAAAAAAAAAGTTAAAAAGAAACAGGTGTCATTAGTAACATTTTACATCATCTAGTATATCTAAAATATTATTTCAGTATGTATTTGTATACAAAACTGTTGAGCTGGCAGGGCACAGTGCCTCATACCTGTAATCCCAGCACTTTGGGAGAGCGAGGTGGGTCAATCACGAGGTCAGGAGTTCGAGACCAGCCTGGCCAACATGGTGAAACCCTGTCTCTACCAAAAATACAAAAAATTAGCCAGGCATGGTGGCAGGCACCTGTAGTCCCAGCTACTCAGGAGGCTGAAGCAGGAGAATCACTTGAACCCGGGAGGCAGAGGTTGTAGCAAGCTGAGATCACACCACTGCACTTCAGTCCGGGTGACAGTATGAAACTGTCTCAGAAAAAAAAAAAATCGTTGAGGTGTCATTACTCTTTTTTTCAGTGTGTTTCAAAATCCAGCGTGTATTTTACATGTAGGCACATCCCTGTTCAGATTTGCTGCCTTTTAGGCGCTCAGCAGCCCCGTGTGGCTAGTGCCACTCTAGAACTGAACTCGGCACATGGCAGGTATATAAAACGTTTGCTGCTGTTCTCCTGGTCAAGGCTGGTCCCTCCTGGGCCTCCACTGCCCGACTTGGGAAGGTACACCTAGGCCTTTTTGCCACTGAAGAGAAAGGCAGGGGCTGGGAAGTCCCAGACCAGGACTGCTGAGGAGTCGACCTCAGAGCCAAAAGGACCTGAATTTGAATCCCAGCTGTCTACCTAGGGCCCCTTTTGTATAAAATGGGCTAGTCCTCTGAAGTCCCAAAACCAGGAATAATTAAATGGGTAGCTCTGGCTGGGTGCCATGGCCCACACCTTTAATCCAGAAATTTGTGAGGGTGAGGTGGGTGGATCACTTGAGGTCAGAAGTTCGAGACCACCCTGGCCAATACGGTGAAACCCCACCTCTACTAAAAATACAAAAATTAGCTGGGCATGGAGGTGTACACCTGTAATCCCAGCTGAGGTAGGGGAATCGCTGGAACCAGGGAGGTGGAGGTTACGGTGAACTGAGATCACACCACTGCACTTAGCCTGGGTGGCAAAGCAAGACTCTGTCTCAAAAAAAAAAAAAGGCAGGTAGTACTGGGCCAGTTAGCATCAGCAAAATGCTTGTCAAAAACCCAGCTGCCTGGGAATTTGAGTTTTTTAGCAAATGGCCTCTGATGACTCTGATGCTTGGCCAGATGGCCCTGTGTCAGGAGGCTGGCAGGTAAAAGAGGCCACACTGGGCTCACCCTGCAGAGGAAGCCACCATTTCTTACCTTTCCACCCTTAGGTCTCAGAGGCCATGTTGCAGGAGATGCTGCCAGAGGTCCTCAGCACTGACTTGGATGCGATGCTCAGCTGTCCTGAACAGCTGGGGCTCTTCCTCCTGGCCCAGCAGAAAGTTCCCTCTAGGCTCAAGAAGCTGGTGGGATCCGTCAACCTATTTTCGGATGAGAATGTTCCCAGGTGTGAGGGAGGTGGATGGATTTGCTCTCCCTGGGGCTGTGGGACTGCATCTGGCCAAGCCCAGATTGGCTGTGTAGCCTGGGGGTGCCCTGGCTACTCTTGGCACACTGGCCCTTGCTGGTGAGGCAAGCATTCCCTGAGTCCCCTGCCCCCCACAGGATGGTGAACATGCTGAAGATGGCAGTGTCCTCAGTGAAGAAGGAATGAAAGCTGCCTGCCGTCGCCCTGGAGCTGCTCTACCTGGCACTCAAGGAAGACAAGTTTCTGCAGTTCTGGAAGGGGATGGTGGAACAGGGGCTGCTGAAGCTGCAGTTCTGGCCAGCCAGGTGCGTGTGGCATGTGGCCTCTCTCGGCCCCCTTCCCTGTCTGTGAAATGGGGCTGGACTACCAGTCCTGAGGTCCGTGCCGGGGGACCAAGGGCTCTGACCATGCTCGGTCCCATAGTCCCTCTTAGCTACCTGTGTTTCTGCCTGCTGGGCACCGCCCTTCCCCTGCTGACCAAGGAACAGCTGCAGCTGGTGATCGGGAGATGTGATCCGCCATTACATGGAGCACATG